GTTGGAAATATTGTTTTTAAATTATTTTAATATAAATATATTTCAGGCGGTAGAACCTTTGGAAAGAATTTCAACTTTTATGAATAAGCCTGCTCATTTATTTTTTATTGTTTTTAGTAAACTTTATGAAAATTATAAAAATATTTGTGCAGGACCGATCTTGGGTATGAATATGTTAAAGATGTGTCTGGTTATTGCAGAATATAAACCTCTATGTGCAAGAAGCCCTATACAGTATTTTAGAGAATTCATTGGGACAGAATCCATCAGTGATCGTAGAGTATGCCAACATATTTCAAGATTGACAAGATATATATTTGCCAAGGGATGAAATGAACAAAGCAGGGCCCTCATCTCCCAATAACAATGGTTGACTATTCTCCTTCCTTACACCTGAGATTCTAAACATGTACAGCAATTAAGTTTTCATTGTTAAAACAGCAGACATCAGGTGCGGCCAGAGTCAGATACGATCTAGAATTCTGAATTTGAAAGTTCATAAAATAGTAGCATAATCCAACACCTGTAGCGTAAATATATATTAATCTCTTGTGTGCATTTCATTTTATCTCCCGATCAGTTTTATTTTAATTGTGTGCAGAGTAATAAACTTAAAAATAAATCATACTAGTTTATTTACTCTAAAATTCTGTAGCATGGATCTTGATGATAACGTAAACAGCTGAGTGAAAAAAATAGGTGATCGCAAGCACCCCAAGGTTACAAACTTAGCTTGAAATACCTAATGCAGACTGCAACCCACAACGCTTTTTTGTTGTTCAAAAAAGCAAACCCCGGGATGCAAGTTTTTTTACAGTTTTTTTTTTTTACAGTTTTAGCTCCAGGTCATTTCAGGGATTTTGTACCGTGGTGCACCTGCTCCCCGGGCGATGATGGGATTGAGCAGAGTTGGGGCTACACATTTTATTTTTAAAATTCCCCCTACTGCGGCAAAGAAGAATCCCCAAAAAATATGCAGAGTCTATTTTAAGACAGCGGCAGATAAAAGATATATTACTGTCCTGATTGCCCTGGACAGCCTGGACTTTGCATTGGGAACTGCTTCAAATGGTACCACAAACTGGTCCATTTCTGATATTTTTTAACATTTGCCGTTCAGTTTTTTTTTTGTGGGTTGCATGGGGGGCATGGGTGTACTAAGGAGGCCTTGCAGAAAACAACCTGGAGTGTTTCCTTGCAATAACAAACAACAGGCTCTCCTAAATCACAGTCAAAAAGCAATGTGTGTGTAAAAATGAAAATTCAACAATTACCACCACACACTTTCTCCAATTTTTTTTACTAAAAAGGCATCAAAGGCATCAAAACACTCCAAATACAATACCGTGGGGTGTCAACATTTCAAATATATGCCCCCAAAAAGAAGATAGGCAAAGAAGATATGTAAAATTTGAAAAACACATGTCAGACGTTTGGCTTTGCACCCCCCAAACAACCTAACAATCCAATGCATAGGTGGTATCACTATACTCAGGAGATGTTGCTGAACACATATTGGGGTGTTCTTTGGCAGCACCACCTAACAGGAGCATCCATGCCTGAAGTAGAAAGTGTGTGAAAAATAACACAAAAAACTTTGACAGAGACCCAAATGTTTGATAGAGACTGGTGGTAGAATTAGTGCATGGAAAGTGTTAAGATATCACCATTTGAACTACCCTAGGGTGGCTACTTTTCAAAAACATATGGTTTGATGGGGGTAAATTACATTGGCTGGCTTAAAAAATGTCCCAAATGGGACATGGGTGCATGATGGCCAGCGGTGAAAATTCCATGTTGGAAAACTGGAATGTCTTTTAGCCCCCAGAGAACTGAACACACCTATACATGGGTGGTATCGCTGTACTCAGGAGATGTTGCTGAACACATATTGGGGTGTTCTTTGGCAGTAACACCTAACAGGAGCTGAGAATCCATGTCTAAAGTAGAATGTGTGCAAAAAATAACACAAAAAAATGACTACCCAAACATTTGACAGAGACTGGTGGTAGAATTAGTGCATGGAAAGTGTTAAAATACCCCCATTTGAAATACCGTTGGGTGTCTACTTTTCAAAAACATATGGTTTGATGGGGTAAATTACATTGGCCGGCTTCAAAAATGTCCCAAATAGGACATGGGTGCATGATGGCCAGCTGTGTTTTTTTACATTTTTCTTTTTAACTTTTTTTTTCTAGTAAATTTTATGATATGATGAAAATAATGGTGTCTTTAGAAAGATCATTTAATGGTGAGAAAAACGGTATATAATATGCAGGCCCGGACATCGGGCATACCGGGCAAATGCCCGGTGGGCCGCAATAGCGGTGGGCCAAGGCCGGCAGGGGAGATCACAGGATCAGGATCTCCCCTGCCAGCCCCTGCAGGGCCAGAGCTATCCGAGCGCCGGCCCTGCTGTGTGCCTCCATGGGCCAGTAGGGAGATCAAAGGTCTCCCTCACCGGCCCAGAGGCACTGAGTTGTGGCCGCCGGCTGGGGAGTGAGGGAGGGGAGGAGAGGACCGGCGGAGCTCTAGCCAGCAGATCCACCGAGTCCTCTCGCGAGGTCTGAACATTGCTGCGGTTACCACAGCAATGCTCAGATCTCGTGAGAGTGAACTCTAGCCTGCAGGCTAGAGTTCACTCTCACCACTGGACCACCAGGGAAGGCAGCACACTCCATGGCACCACGGAACCCCCTCTCCAAGGCTAACGGTAAGAAGGGAGGGGGGGATACATAGTTTTTAGTTTTTTTAAATAAAAAAACCAAAACATATTTATACAAACACTGTGCTATATACACTCACACTAAGAGCACCCACACACAGCACACTCATACTAACATCACCCTCAGACACAGACTGCACACACAGCACCCTCAGACACACACACACACACAGCACCCTCAGACACACACACACACAGCACCTTCGGACACACACATCACTTTCACTCACACAGCACCCTCAGACAAACACATCACCTTCAGTCACACAGCACCCTCGCACACAGCACACTATCACACATATACAATGCACACACGTTTGTATAATATATAAAATAACCCTCAGTAAGTTAACAGACAAAAAAAATTAGAAACATAGAATGTGACAGTAGATAAGAACACCCTCACACACACAGCACCCCTCTTACACACACACTGCAATCTTCACAAACATGCTGCACCCTTCACACATACACACAGCACACACAACACACTGCGCCCTTCACACATACAATACGTCCAAATATATATATATATATATATATATATATATATGTATGTGTTTGGACGTATTGTATGTGTGAAGGGCACAGTGTGTTGGGTGTGCTGTGTGTATGTGTGAAGGGTGCAGCATGCATAATATTATTATTATTATTGCCATTTATATAGCGCCAACAGATTCCGTAGCGCTTTACAATATTATATACTACAGCACCACTACACACATTACACTCCAGATACACGCTAGATCCCTATATACACTCTGAATCCTCTATACACACACACACACAATCTCCTATACACACTCTGCCCCCTATACACACTATGCCCCCTATAAACACTCACTACAGCCCTTAGCCACACATATTACACAACAATCATGAATTAAATTGACCTATTTACACAATACCACACCACAATCAGCTTACTCAACACACGCGCAATCCCACAAGCAGGCTCCAAACACATGCACCATACGCTTTTCTGAGACCAGAAACAAGTTAAAAGCAAACACAGCGCAGGCATGTTTTTAAATTTGCTTGCTCTGCGCAGAACAAATACAAGGCCTTTTTTCCATGCTAGAGCTCTTCAGCGGGGCTCTGCGCATTGAACTAACTTTCTCAGGGGGCCGCTGTGATTGAAAAATGCCCGGGACTAATTTTTTTCCTAGTCCGGCCCTGATAATATGTGTGGGTACAGTAAATGAGTAAGAGGAAAATAACAGCTAAACATAAACACCCCAGAAATGTAAAAACAGCCCTGGTCCGTAACGGTAAGAAAATTGAAAAATGGCCTGGTCACTAAGGGGTTACTATAAGTGAATGAAACCCTGACACCCATCATGTGCTTCCTATACATATTGTGAGACTATGGTAACTGCCACTCATCAAAAAGTTCTCTCCTAGTCTAATGGGAATCCAATAATCTACTAACTACATAACGACTTGAAAGCCCTTGTCATGATGAAATTACATGGTGGAATTGTAAAAAAAAAGAAAAAATATTCAACCTATATGCTGCTGTAGTCAGTTGCTAGAGAATACAGATATTTTATTCCAATTACGTAACGTTCCATGTAGTTAAGTGTTACCTCTGTTAGTCACATAGATCCTGACCTCATATCAAGCATCTGTTTCGTGTCTGATAACCAAGCATTCATATACTCATACGGGAGTTGGACGTTTCCATTCTTACTCCCTTTTCCTTCTCTCCTAGGTCTACAAAGTCTGACAGTTATGCCAGCATTGTCAAGTCTGGGAGAAACTTTAATGAATGATACATTAGACTATTGTTTAAATATTATCACTGATAACTTCTTAACATAGGAGCGTAGGGGTTTTATTTCCTTTGTAAAAGTTGAACAGATCTGACGGAACCTCTGAGTTCCACAATATGTTTTGAAAAATTCCCAGCAGCTGTATAGGAAAACCACTTTGTTCTTTAAAAAGACACACCTAAAGAAATGCCGGTTGTTCAGATATAATGTTTACATTGGAATCCCATGATATTCATGGAATTAATGGTTTGCTGGAAAAGGGGAGACTTAATTGTCTCAACTAAATTGCTCGTTGAATGTATAGGATCATGTGTGTCCTTAGTCCTTTTTATCCTATCATGACAATGAACGCTTCTAAACTAGACTCATAGTTCCAAACCTCCACTGTAGAAGACAAGATAGTGGTTGTAAAGCCAGCTTATAAATCCCACTTGGTGCCTTGATTATTTAATGTGCTGGAGGGTGGAACATGCTAAAATATAAACTTGCCATAATCAAATAAAATAGTGTATTATGTTGCTCTAAATTAAACTATGTGTTTAGTTTGGATTGGGTCAAAGCCTCCAAGTGTAAAGAACGAATGTTTTTTTTCAATTATTGGATACTCTACATAAACTCTGGTGATTCCCATCACTAGGCTCTTATGAACAAAGCATTTCGACTCCATAACTGGTAAACTTTGCAGATCCTTTGTGGGATGCCTCCATTCTAAATAGTTTTTCCACAACTTGGGCAAGGGTAGACATGACAGGTTTAAGGGGATAACGATTTTGCCTTTCATGCTCATCATGCTCATGCTATTCATGTTCGAAAACCCAATATGTGTTTTTGTTCCATTTAAAACAATAAAATGTTTTGTAAAAATAAAATATTGTTTATAACTATAAATGTAACCACAGACTGCACAAGTTCACTGTTATTGCATGCACATACAGACGCACATCAAAACCACACTCAATCCTGCTACAAGCACCACATATTCATTACCTATTAGCCTCAACAGCCAACAGGATATAGCAGGAACACTGGATCAAACCTGGATCTTAGACAGGAACAATAAACAATAGCCAATGAACATAATACAAGATTAATTCTGGATCCATCCGGGAACATAAAGGCATGAAATGCATAGCAATTCAAATAGGGAACGAGGATCAGAGAATCACGAAAAATAAGGACAGGAAATCAGGAAAACTCAAGCAGTAAGAGTTGAATGTAGCAGGATGTAGATGACTAGAAAGGGTATACATTTAGTATCATTTGAATTAAGAACTACCAGCTGGATCAGAAGGTTAACATTCTTAAACTAATAAAATCTCAAATAATGTATTCCAGTTCACCCAAGCTTCCAGTGGCAAATCAGGAATGTGTCAGAGGTAAACCCAAAATAACCAGGGTTAAAATTCTAACAAGTCCCTCTTAACTTTGCCTAGCTATTTACTACTTTGACATACTATGAGGGTGTGATAAGGTAACTAAGTGTGACGGACCGCCTGGCACCCCGACTAGCCTTCAGTACCATAAGCACCGCACCGGACACCATCAGCACCGTAGCACCCCTAACTGCCGCAGCTTGACTGGGGTCTCGCCATCCCTTCCCACCCTGGACCTAACTCCTGGACCCAGCTCTCAGTTGGAAAGCCTCAACTCCAAGAGGGTATAGCTGTGAAGCTCTTACAAGAGCTAGTGGTTATAGCCTGTATATTAATCCACAGAACAATCCCAGGAGCAGGGATTATAGCTGGTATAGCTGGTATAGCTGTTCCCTACAATCATGAGACAAGGCTGCATGTTGAGGGTTAAGCAGGACTGGTTTAATGGTAGCCACACTGGCCTTTTATTCAAGTCCCCATGTAAGGGTGACACCCACATGGACCTTGCTGGGGACTGTGACACAAACATACACACCAATAATAACAAAGTTACAATATAAGGCACTCCCACACATGGCATACAATCCCTCCCCTCTGCCTGGGAGATAATTGAGTCAGATACTGTATTAACCCAATTATCTCCAGGCACAAAAAACACACATTTTACAAAATGCCAAAAGTACCCCAAAATCACATGGCATCCCCACAAATGTCACATCCCCTGATAGCCCAATCCAACATATCAAAAAATCACCCAGATCAGTTCAGAGGTTTAGGAATTTCCTGGAAGGCACATTTTGACTGGCCGCATGCATGGTTCCATGCCCAAAACAGTTCCAGAGAATTAGGCTATTGGTCGGTGTAGTTCGGTAGTTTGAAAATGAACAAACTACCGAACAGAGTCAATAGTCTTACCCTGGAGCTTGTTCCATTCATCCAGACGAATGATCTCAACTCTTCTAACTTGTATAGAACCGAACACAGGCAAAGATGGAAGCGGTGTTCGGGAGTTTCTGTGTCCGATTTTAGTTCCATGAGATTCATGCCCAAACAACACTGCTTGCATTCATGCGAACAAGATGGCAGCCACCTCATGGTTGTCCATAGGAATTGCGGCCACCCAGACGAACAATTAGAACACTGCGGTGAGAAACGTTTCAAGTTGTTAATAGGTGTTAACAAGCTCCAGGGTGGCCTCTGGTATAGTCCCAATTGCACGAACAGAGCCTGTTTAAAGTATTTTAGCCAGGTTTATTGCAGGGGCCATAGTCACAGGGTAGGAGGCTGGCAAACAGGCTCCTGCAAAAGCCAGTGGTGAGGCTACTTTTGCCACACTAAGCTTAACAGATAATTTTCTGCAGATACCAATTTATATATTGACCAAAATCTAACTTGGGATCAAATACTAACTTGATTAAAGTAGCGTGAAATTGTTACAAAATCACATATTCAGTTATTCTGGGCTCTTATTTGTCTCAGTTTCAATACATGTGGCTAGATAAACCTCAGGGAGCCCTACCTATGGCTGAGGGGGCCAGTTAAAATATAAATATCCCCTTACTTTGCCATTACCTCCCATGACAACTTTGCTCCACAATCGTGTTTTCCCAACTTGAAGGGATTGGAGGCTATGGGTCTTAAGAGATTTATGACAAGTCAAATAGAGATTATTTTCCTTATTTACAGTTAAAGGATTTTTCTAGCCATGATAAAGTTAAAGAGCTGCTGAGACGGATATGACATTTTATGAAGGTGGGTGTTTTGGGGATTTATCTTATTTTCAGAAATGGAAAAATTATCCTAATGAGCTTCTGGAGGGGGACACCTGAGGGCATCTGTATGCACCTACAATAACAAATGATTAAAATGATGATGCTGTGGTATAATGGGACAGACTCTATCAGATATAGGTTGGAGGTCCTGTGGCCTTCAGGGCACTTATATCCATATATATTGGTGGTCTTTGTCTGAAGTATTCCACAAATCCTTTAGTTTGGACCCATGGTCCTTTCTATTATCAAGACCCCTGGAAGACGTTCCGTCTCCTCCAAAAACTGTATAACAAAATTACGTTAGCAGCCCATAGGGTTTTTCCCACTAAATGATTGCATAACACAATACCCTCCGTGGGTGAAGTTATGTCCTAAATGAATGATAATCACTTAATGGACAGTCTAACGGCACTTGTGCACAATTCTCTTACGTCTTAACCCCTATCAAGGAGGGATCTTTATTTTTAAATGTCATAATTCCTTACCTTTTTTTGTTTGAAAATTAAATAGCCACGGTAGTGAATCTAAGCAGCACTGAACTACTATTAGACAAATACGTTTAGTTGATAAGATGCTTTTTGTTGTCCATGTATTGGAATAAGCTTAATTTGCTTCATCGATAATATACAGATGACTGGAGCCACCATCAGCACTCACAGCGTAGGCATTTCTAGTGGGTGGCTTTGGCGGCTGACACCCCAGATGTGGAACTCTTTATCCCCGTAGCTGGTTCTCAAAGATTTCGTGACCTTCAGGTGACTTTCAGGAAGGGGTGCTGAGGAACAGAACATTGCTGCACACCCATCTATTAGTTAGGTAGTGTGGCATGATTCAACAGCTATCTATGCAGCATGGGCTTGTTTTCAGCTATACTTTCATTGAGATCCCAGATAGCATAAGCAGAATGCTCTCCATAGGCAGAGAGGAAGACACATTATGGAGAAATTCATGGATTATTCATTATATATCCCCAACTCTTTTATTGCAGGGGTCATTAAGTTTTGCTTTGGGCTTATTGTATTTCTGGAACCTAGCAATGCCTCTAACTAGTCTCACCAATGAGCCTTAGTTATTGGAATTTGTAATGGTAGAGACTGTTACCCAATAAAGAATCTCCCAGTGTTCTGTTGCTCAAGATGTGGCCTTGATCTGAAATGATGTCAATTGGATCAATAATTTCACTCCTGGCTTGGTTTGTACAGGAAAGATATATAGGTGAAAGAACAGTCAAGTTGAACCTTGTTTAGTGAGGGTGAAGCTGATGAGAAGTACGAAGATAATATTCGCATTTAAATACATGTTTTGACCATAGTTGTTTTAAATACATAGAGATGATAAAATGCATCTCCCAGCTTTATCATCAATATCTGCCCAGCAACTTGTTCTTTGCCTTACCTTATATTTCTACATTTAAGGGTTTTTGATAGAGATGTACCAGATTTTAATCATACAAACTATAATATCACCATTACTCAAACTGTAAATATTACAAAGTTATCTAGAATACTGATGGCATTGTTTTGTTTTATTTGTGTCTGTACACTCGGCCGTCAATCACACAAATGAAGATGATAAATAGGCAGAAACTGTATCCCTGTTGCCTGTGGAAACAACTAAATTGAGGAAGAAGTACAATATTTCCTAGCCCCGATGAATCAACAGTATGAAATCAGTTATTTTATTAATGTGGTGTTTTAGATATAAGGCTTACACTTGGTTGATCCTTTGCCTTTTAAGTACAAAATGATGGGCACCCTCGCTAGTTAAATCAAAGCTCAAAGGGTTAAACTGTGATTTGTAGCTTTCGTTCTTTCAGAAGCTTAAATAAACATCAGAGTAAACTGAAGTAAGGAAAGAAAAATATTTATTGACATTTCGGTATGCAATTTCTTTTTGCAGCAAAAACTAGTTTGCAAGTTGGGGGTAACCACGAAACTAGGCTCATGGCCAGACAGAATCTCAAGGTCAGAGGCCCTCGCTCAGTAATGTCTCAAGAAAAAATATTTTTGCTTCCTGGATACCTCTCTCCTCCTCCCTTACTTTCACACATATAAGAAAGATCTTTGTGAGTTTTATTCTGAGGCTGCCAAATGAGTTGAATTATCAACCAGTCAATGTAGACATTGACTTGGTGTCATATTCTTATATTTAAACAAAACCTTATAGTTGTATTGTTTCCGCGTTTCTTTTTTTTAAATTTAATGCTTAGTAGGAGCAGCCTTTCAAGTAACAATAAATACCCATTTTATAATTGCTGTTGCATGTCTGATACTTCATGGTGGTACTGGTAAATCTGACTAAAATAATAACTTTAATGAAAAAAGTAACTTGGCTGGGAAGATATTATAGTAAAGATTACAGTATTAAATAATAATAATAAAAAAATTACACATTAATTTATCATTCTGGATCTAGAACAACTTCATCGGAATTACGTTGTTATGGTGCAAGGAGTTCCGGGGTGCAAGATTACCTGAAAGGGTTAAACTGGTAATGAACGGGGCTGAATGGGCTCAGAGCATATTTACTTACCTCTATCACTTTTTCTTCTCAATGCGGACGTACTGATTTCAGCCTTTAATTCAACTTTACC